GTTGGTCCAATAATATAAGGACCACCAATCTAGGGGGAAGTGTTTTTTTTTCAAAAAATGTGTACAATCCCCCCCCCCCCTCCGGCTGGTTTTTTACACCCCCTTCCTCACCTCCAAGCGGGGTGAAAATGTTTTTTCTTTTAATCAAACCGGTTCCCTCCCCCCCACATCCCTGGCGATTGTTTTCCCCCCCCCCCCCCCTCGTCCTCAAAAACCTTTTTGTGAAAATTTTCCCCCCCCCCCCCCCCCCCCCGCGCGCGCTAGGGAAGACATTGTTGAGCCACCTTTGGCAAAGTAGGAAGGAACGATTGGCCATCGGTCATCGGTCCTCCTGTGGGAACAGTGCTCCGTCCTCTCGAGGACGCGTGGTCAATGATCCAACCGCTAAGGCACGCAAAACATAAGAGTACCCCCCCCCTCCCGCTCCGAGGTCAATGGTCTAACAACTACGGCACCCCCGACATACACCCCGCCTACCTGCTCCGGGCGCGCCCCAAAGCAAGCACATCTCTCTCTCTCTTTCTCTCTCTCTCTCTCTCTCTCTCTGCGGGTAGACTACAATAAAACCAACCCTTCGGGGCTGTTAAGCAATATTTTCAGCCCATTTCACCACCCACGCCGCATATAAATCTCCCTGTCTTCGGTTATGCAAAACATCTATCAGGGACAGTGCGTGATTTCCTTGGCTTTGGTCAGGCGACAGAAAACCTGGGGACGCCGGCGCCGCCGGCTCCGCTCGCGACGGCGACCACCGCCGCCACGATCACGGCCACAAGAAGAAGCAGCAGGAGCACGGTGATCGCGAGGAGGCCCGGGCGCCGAAGAAGCAGGGGCGACTGCCCGTGAACCGCCATCATGGCTCTAGCACCACCACCGAAACCTTCGAGATCGTTGACGACGGGCACAGAAACAACACCCGAAAAAGAGGCCGATCTCGGCATCATCGCCGGGGAGCCGGGGCGAGAGGACGAAAACCGGGCGGAGGAGGAGGAGGAGGATGACGATCTTGACATCATCGCGGAGGAGGGGGACCTGTGAGACGATGACGACCGGCGAGAAGAAGAAGAAGGAGAAGGCCTTGACGTCTTCCTTGTAAACCGCGGGGGGGTGGGTTGGAGGGAAGACGACGAGGAGGCAGAGCGGAGAGCAGGAGGAGCGGAGGAGGAGGAGGAGGAGGAGGAGCAGCTCAGTCCGAACAGCAGCTGGCCGAGCAGCGCAAGGTGGCTCCGGAAAGCCCGAACGGAGAGGCGAACCACCTCCGAGTCCCTGCCCTGCGTGAAGAAGGCCACCGCGGCGGTCATCATCTTGGCCGCCTCGAACACGTAGTAGATCTGAGGAGGAGGTGCGGCGAGTTGTGACGGGTTCGGTTCCGCGCAGCGGGCGTTTCAGCGTCGAAAAGAGAAGGCGTTCGGGGGCAGGGCGGGGGGGGGGCGTAAGTTGTGACTGATACGCGAACGTGCTTGACGTCTTGTTGTTGTTATTGTTTTTGTTGTCTTCACACCTCCATCTGCCCGTACTGATGAAACGCTTGACGCCTCGATTCACGTGGCGCGTGCCACACCAAAATATCATGTCCACGCGAGAGCGGTCAGTTACACGGCGTGGTGAGGTGCTAGTAATAATATTTCGTGGCTACTGTAAGAGGGCTGGGAAACCGAATGATGGGCAGAGAGGATAAGGGGGGCGCGTACTCATGTTGGCCACGCGTCCTCGAGAGGACGGCAAGGATGAAGAAGAAGAATGGGAGGGGGATGGGGGGCGTGCGTTTCGGAGAGTAAGCAAGGTTCGCGGAAAAAAAAAATCAAAACTAACTACGAAACAGGTTGATATATGTCTCCAAGGCACAGAAGACTTACCAGCAGCCCGAACGCCTCCCAGAAGGGCAAACCCCTCTTCTTCGCCACGCGGGCCCTGAACGTCTTGTTCTGTGTCTCGCGGCACGACCTGACGGACGGAAAAAGACAAAACGCACGAAGAAATTCGGGAAGGGACGAGAGTTACTGCGCAAGCCACGTCCGACAAACAGATGCCACCGGGAACACGGGACAAAGGTTTTCTTGATTGACAGTTTTCACTTCTGTCCGCGGGTATTCTGGTTCTTGTTCCGTCCGTGGTATGCAACTACAGCGGCGGCAGTACCTGTAAATGTCCAGCATCCCGTCGTACAGCTGGGTCGTCCCGTAGCCAAGCGCTATCTGCCTGCCGGTCGCGCTCATCTGCGCGACACGCCAAGCGGTTACGAGGGCGAAAGGCAGCAAGAAAAGAAGGGGGGGCAGTTGATCAGTGTTTGTTGCGCGAATGTCCTGCCCAAAGACCAAGGAACTATGAAAAAAATCGCAAGTAAACATAGTGCCCTTTCCCCACAAAAAAATGGATCAAATTAAATACATACCCCCCAATTGTATTTTTCGTTTGTTGTGCAAGGGTTTTGGTCTCCGTAGCGGCCTGTCTGTGCGCAGAGCTTGTTTGCGTGAATAGCCCAACCAATGCCCAGGACCTGCGTGTTCCGGCGTGTGTGTGTGTGTGTGTTTCGAGACACCGACAACATGGTAGTGGCGCGGACATAATTTTTTGAGGTCGGAATCTCGAAACAAACACCCATCTGCATGTGTGTATTGAAGCACGCAATGAAGCACGCAAAAGACAGAAGCCAAGAGAGAAGCGGAGTAAACTTCGACAACGACAGCTTGTTGCTCCCACAGATAATGCTTGCACAGCAGGTGCTTAGGCTTCGTTGCACCCTCGCTTGAAGCGAAACGGCAACAACAATGAATTAAAGTTTTGGGGATCACCTTGTTCCTCAGGTTCTTGTCCTGGACGAGCTTCCTCAAGCCCTCCACGTAGCCGTTTTCATCCCCGGAAGGAACGCAAAAACCGTTCGACCCATCCTGTGCAGAGGGGGAAACATTGGGAGGACGAATGATGGCTCAGGCGGGCGACAGAGAAAAACGTGAGCGGGTGTGATGCTGATCGGCGCTGTGGAGCGAAAAGGGGCGTCTACGCGACGGTGCACGCTCATGAGACACGTGCTACAGAAAACACGAGGAGAGAGGATTCACGCATGAAAATTAATTTTAAAAGCAGAAAAGCACCACCACTCCATTCCCTCGTGAGAACGAGCTCTTGACAAAAAAAACTTTGATTCTCTTGAAAAAAACAATTCCATTTTCCGTGACAAACAGGAAAAAATAAAAGGGACAAAGATGACAGCATGCAGGCACGGCGCGCCCCCCCCTGTTTCAGGGAACCTCCGTATGTGCGCAAAAATTGAAATTACGTAGATGGTATGTAGCTATATATATTGCATTGGTGTCCCGAAGATCAAGACCGCAAACAAAAACCAACCCACCTGAACGAGGTGATCTCCGCACTCCCGGTTGACGACGCACGGCAGGCCGCAGGACATGGCCTCGAGGGTCACCCGCCCGAACGTCTCGATCTGCGTGAGGTCGTTGTTTTCGAGATGCACGCGGCACACACACACGAAAAGCAACGCGACGGCACAGTAGTAGTCAGCGCGCGTGTCAGACAGGAGCGTCAAACGTGGCGAGGGAGAGGAACAGGGAGAGAGAAAGAGCCTTCGTCAGCCGAGCTGTTTCTCGAATCAAGCACGGTACACACCAAACCATCATGCAGCCAGTTCAGTGCCATCGGAAAACCGCTCGAAAAGAGCAAGGATGGGTACGATGGAGAGATCCTCGAACGTGTCATGTATCGCCGCACCTCGCTCGGGGCCACCATGATGTCGCACGACGCGATCACGCGCGCCAGATCCTCCCCAGCCTTCCACCCGACGCACACGACCCCGTCCGCCCCTCGGAGGGTTCGCATCGCTTCGCCCTCGCCCACGCAGATCCCGACAACTCGCGGCGGCAACGCCACCTTGCTATCGCTGTCGGGTTGTTCAGCGGCTGCGACGGCGGCGTCGTACCTCTCCCTCGCCTCGCGTTGGACTTGTTGCACGGCCTACTTGTTTAGAAGCACAAAGGGGCGGGGGGGGGGGGGGGGGGAGAAGCGA